TCCGCCGGGCCGGGCTCCTTGTCCCACCCAGGTCCACACACACACTGGACCAATACATTACACGACATTGTTTGTCCCAATACAACCCAAGGTACCCACAACTCAGTGTGCCCAGTCACCCTCAAACACACTGCGCTCCTCCGGAGCAGAAGATGTGGCCATACCTGTCATGCAAGTCCCGGGCGGTAATCGTCATCCACCCGAAAAGGCGATAGTCCCACTCTGATGGGATGCAATACACATCGATGTACCGCCAGAGGGCAGCGCCCCGCCAGTCGCCCCAGTGGCGGATGCGCTGTTCGGGCACCTCCAAGGCGAAACAGGCCGACGCCCCACCCGCGCGTAGACCATGGTGATCGAAAGCGCCAGGGTGCAGGTCAGGAGAGGAGGCCAGAAGTCCCGAAACCAGGAGGAAACCGTGCGGGCGGATGGGTCGCGTTCGCCCGGGAGAGTGTAGAAATGCGTCGGCGTCCCACCCACATCCGCCCAGGCGCGATCCCGAAAGGCGCCCCAACGCAGGAGTAAATTCACAAGCTCGGGGGCGCCCTGCGAAGGCCAGGAATGGAGGCGGACAGCCGGGTCCGAATCGGGCTTGAGTTTGGTCTTGCACTCCCAAAAGATCACGACGCCATCCGTCACCCGCACGTCGTCCAACAGAATGAAATGGCCGCTCTGGGCCCGATTAAAGAAAATGAAGTCCAGCAGAGCGGAAACCGACGCCCGCAGTAGGAGGAGGTCGTCGGTGTGTAGGCCATGCTCCAGAATGTGGAGCATCAAGGTGGCCGGCACCGGAGCATGAGAGGCCGCAGGCTCCGGGCATTGACGACGCCATGACCGGGTGAGCAAACGGGTCACCCGGTCGAAGGCGGAAAACTGCAGATGGCCGGCGACCTGGTGAACCATGGAAATGGCGGCCAGGTACTGCGGGAGGCTGTGGACGCCCACCCGGCCCTCCTCCCGCAGAAACCGGATGTAACGGTAGATCGTGGCCGGGTGGGCGGGGAGGGCCTGGAGCTCCACGGAGGCGCAAAACGCCTGAAACTTGGCGAACTTGGCCTGCATGGATCTCCGCGTCGACTCCGTGTAGAAAGACAAGAACTGAGACTGCATCCATGCGCAATCCGATTGCAGCATGCCATCGACGTCCAGCCCGTAGAGGGGGTGATCGGTTGGCATGGCCTCCACCGGGAGCGGATCATCGGGGGGAAGCGCGACCTCCCGGGAGGGGGACCGAGCGCCCGCCCCTAGGGAGGCTTCCGAGGGCGGATATGAAATGCCCGAAGGTTCCACTTCGGCGGAGGAAGGCGGGCTGGAAGAGTCGGATCCCCCAGGCGAAACATCCCCGGATGGCGGGGAATCAGAAGGTCCTCTGCCGCAAGAGTCCGGAGCGGCTGAAACCAAAGCGCGCTCGGCCAATCCGGCGCGACGACGACGGCCTCCACGGCGGGCCGAGCGGCGAGGAAGGAGACGAGCCGGGGAAGGAGGCACCAAGGGGGGTTGCACCAGTTGGTGTCCCCCGTCCAGTCTTGGAGAAATGCGTCCGTCCCCGCACTCCCCACGTCCGCGTGTAGGCTGTTGTACCTTGGGTAGAGGGAATTCGCCGCGGAAGCAAAGCGGTCGCACGTCCAGTGACCAAAGCGCTGAGTCAGTCGTCTGAAAATGGCCGGGTGCAGTTGGTAGTCGTCCGCCACCCGAACCCGGGACAGCCTGTCCGGTATGATGTTGTCCTCCGACCGAATATAGTTCGGGTCGAGCAGGAGGTGGCGCACCGTACAGACTCGTTGCAGCTGACGAAGGGGGGTGAGGAGCTGCTTGGAATGGGTAGTCATGCTGCGCAGGCAGCACATGACCACCTGGTTGTCGACCAGCAGCTTGAGCCTCGAAGGAAGGCCATGGGAAGCAGCCGGAAAAAAGCTGAGAATGGCTCGCTCCACCGCTTGCATCTCACGCACATTGATGTGCATTAAGGAACGGTCCCAAAACCCCCTCACGAGGAGGGGGCGGGACCTCTCCGGGGGAGCAAAGGTGGCCCCCCAACCGGTCAGACTGGCGTCCGTTGCCAGAGTACCGGCGAAGGGGATTGCCGTTGAGTGGGATCGCCGCGAATGGGCAGATGTTGACTCCACGTCCGGAACTCGTGGCTTGGGGAGAGGATCAGGCGATCCCGCCAACTGCGCTTGGAGCGAAGAACCGCGTAGAGGCTTTGCAAGAAAAATCGTGCCAAAGGAAACGCCAAATAAAGGGAAATGGCAAGGCCGCAAAAACGTGCCAAATCCCTGGCCACAACCCAGCGGTTGGATCGCAAAATGTAGGCCTGATTGGCGATCAACGCGGCCTTGTCCGGGGGAACCTCAAAACGGCCATGGGCCGTGTCCACAATCACCCCCAAATGCTTCTTGCGCATGACCGGGGTCCATTGACATTTTCGCTCCTTGAATTGGAGGCCCAGCGAGGCAAACACACCCCGAACCAACTTCGACCATCGAGTCAAACATGCGGCATCATGCATGGCCGCCAAAAAATCATCAAGGTAAGCCAACAAAATGGTTGGCGGTTCACTAGTAGAGGATGCAGGAGGGGGCGCCGATGCGATGCCACGTTGAAAGGCGTCCGCGGACTCGATTGTATGGGAAGTCCTTCACGGAGCCGGCTTGGGGGAGGGGCCCGGAGGGCGAGATCCCTTGTGGGCCTTGGGGCCGGTCGATGGGGCCGAGGTCGACGGGGGGGAGGTAGACTTCTTGGCGGCCGCTGTCTTGGTGGCGTGCTTCAATTCTTGCATCAGAAGCTCCTTGCGCATGCGCTCGATGGTCCCGTCGACGCGAGCGGCGCCGAAGCGCAGTCCGCGGTCGGCAAGGCGGATCTCCTCCTGAATGGCCCGCCACGATCCCTCTAGACCCGAGCCCTTGTGCTTGGCGTGGATGCGCTGCAAGGAGAGCTGGTCGTGGAGAGCCTCGGTGACCTCCACGTACGAGTAAAGGTAGGGGAGGAGGAATTCCCGTACGGACGCCGGTAGATCTGGATGGGCGGCCACCTCCACAAAGGCCGCGGTCGTGTCGAACAGCCAGGAGACCGGAGGAGCCCAGCCCGCGTACTCCTGGAAGTACCCGGAGTTGGCACCCAAAGAGGTGGCGACCGCGCTCCCCTCGGCGGTGTCGCGGACGTCGAACCAGTACGGCGAACGGGCGCCCACCGGTCGGGCGACCGGGTTGTTGACGGACTGGGGGAGTAGCACCGGGTCGGGCAACCAGCAGGCTTCGATAGCGGAGCTCGGAATACGGTTGTTGAACCGGCGAGCTTGTTCCCGGCACCACTGCTCCGCAGGGGATGGGTTCATAGGCAAGAACTCGGCAAAGAGCCGGAGGTCGAGACCCACTCAGTGGGTCCGGGTTGTGCCAAAGAATTAGCGCGAAGCGAAACAAGATAAGGTGGGGACCGAGGGGTGAGCCTAAGTAGCCTCCCCGCTCGCGCCCGCCAAAGCCCGCCGCTCCCAAGGGCGCCAAAAACCACTGGCCCTCCTTGAACGCGACGGACCAGCCACTGACCCAAGGTACAGGGGGACAGAAACCTGGCCAAACCATTTTAGCAGCCGTCCTGCGGCGCCCGCCCCGGCGGAAACCACTTAACAAGATAGTTAATCCCATTTACTCTGCACTTTTCCGACTATTTCAGGGGGGATTGAGGGGGGTTGGTAGACTCCCAGATAATAACGCCGGCTCAACTTTCTGGAAACAGGCAAAATGTTCCTCATACAAATGCCGCCTCCCGAGCAAAGGTGACATTCATTTCCTGACAAAGGAAGCAAGGAACATATAGATGCCTTGCCCGCATCGCAGGTGCAAGACCCGAAACACCAGACTGTCATGGAGCCCTGGCATTCCCTGCCATGGAAAATGGCAATTCCCACCCACAGCATTCAGTGAGTTGCCCAAATCGAACGACATGCAGCTCGAAACCATCCAACACGCATTTTAGCAGCTGTGCTCTCCAGACCTTGCGGGTCAAACAAATTCGTTTGTCACAATACTTGTCTCCAGTTGCAGGCGACGGCAAGTGAGTTTCTCTGCTTCATGATCTCGTTTAGTGAGATTTCACATTGAAGCCACGTTTCCACCTATGTAAAGTCCATTGTGGACATTTGCACCGCGGATTGCAGCACGAACATTTGAGCAGCCGCCTTCACGATGCGGTCAAAATCGCAGGATCGGCTGACAGCACAAATGAGAAGAGGACGCCTTTAAAACACAGTTGGGCTTTGATACCACCAGCCCATCACCCATTCGAACGGTACAGATAGTTTTTTGCCATCGATGGACCTGCAGTCTACGATTGATCGCCTTTGCCCCCTAACGTCACATTCCTGTTTCCACTTGCCCATCCAGTATTATAAGTGAGCACTGAGGAGGGGCTTGCGATCACTGTGCACGAACAACTACACAAAAAGCAACGTCTACTCAGCTTTGCTTTCTTCTGCCACTATTGGCCCTTCAACCATCCAAAACGCTTTCTTTTGCATCGGTGTCATTCGCTGTTTATTGTATATCAGGAGCGCCGTGACAGCCAATCATTCTAGCTGGATCATCCTATTTCGTTTTCAATGGGACTTCTAATTCTGCACCACAAACCGCACTGAGCGAACCTCAAGCGCTCCATTTCCACGCCAGCATTAAACATAGCTGTACAACACTACACTATCACCCACCCACTGATCCTCAGCCATGCACCCAGCCCACACGTCCAGGCAGCATACTCACTCAGACAATACTTGGGTCCATTTTAATCTTCAGCCTGCACCATGGTGATGCAAGGACCACCGTTGTTGAAAAAAGAAAACTCAAATGCACCCACCAGAGCATCACCGCAGTTCTACAGAGAGCTGGCATCAGATTGCAACTTGGATTGGCAGTCTCGTTGCCCAACGCAGAGTTGCTATGGTGGGAATGTGAAGCGCTGCTATGCAACATTTCCACGGGGCAGACAGCTGAGCCCCCCTTCCTGTGGTACTACCATTTGATTGTCACCAACTGAACGTTCCCCTGTACAGTCTGACCTGGGAGCTCACGAGAATCGCACATCACAGACTGTACCCTGAACTCTGCCTGGAATCCACGTTCTGTAAGGTTGGCAACCAGCATCTCTTGAGCACGCGGGGTCAAGAAAGCAACACGAAATGTATTGTTGGCGTTGGCAAGGTCTATTTCTTCCGCTGGGTTAGCGGTCTGTCCATCTGACCCATACTCAACTTCAAAATGCCATGCATCTGCAAATCCCCCATTTGGTTGGTGTCTAATCCACCATGTGTACTCGTAATCTTCACGGGCTGTGAACTTGTGGACTCCAAGCTCCTGCCCATTGCCCCAGTACAGCAAGAAATCAGCTTGTTTCTTTACGAGGTCTGCAGCACAGATGTCAACCATCTGGTGCAACATTTCTTCCATGGCATCAAAGAAGACCAGCTCTGTCTTTCCTTGCAGGAATTTCTGACCCAATGGACGAGGGCAGAGGTCTTCCCAAGGAGGAAGGCCATAAAAATCTAAATCGCTGCGCAGCTCACTCAGGGTGTAATCACCTTCAACATCAGCCCAATCAAAGGCGCCCTGCCTGCATAAAACAAAGACATATGAGGGGTTTTAGGGTTGCAGTGCTGCGGCAGGCATATCAAGTTTATTTCTTGGATGTGTGCTCGTGAAAGCCAAAGACACTCATGCATGGACTTGCTTCTATCACGACGGTGACTACCACATTGTGCAACAGCGAATGTTCACTTGTCGGGTGGCCTCCTTGGCACCCACACAAGGTGGCCAAGAGCCTGCTCTCACTCCCTACAGAGTGTTGGCAAGTTGGCTGATTTTAAACGCTTACTACATTCTCTCTCTTCACTGCAAAATACAGTGTAATGTTGCAGAGATGCTCCCCAGAGGACGGGCAACGAGGAGACGGCAAATCAACTAAGCCCCTCGTTCAAATGGTCGGCATGGCGAAGAACAGCACAGATTTTCGGAGTTCATCTGTCACTGCACGACAGCAAGAGCACAACGGACGCTCCCAAGTTGTGTTCCGCAGCACAAGCACCAGCTCGCGACTCGCAGTCTGCAAAAAACGGCAGATGAAACAAACTGTAGGCGCAGAATCATGGTGCTGAGGGTCATATCGAAACGACAGATGTCCGCAGCAGCGTGCCAAAAAGCATCGCGTAGCCCTTGCATGAGTCCCGGTCAGGCAACAGAGACCTCGGAATCGCAAGATGGTCAAAACAATCAGCGACATCCTGTCTGTGCTTCTGAAAGTCGCAGCACCGTATGGCCGAGCTCCCCAACATCTGAAGCACAGTGGTAGGAAGAGGCCAATCAGATACACGAGGACTCGCCCAGAGCTATCGTGCCCCTGCCGTATCGTCACATCGCGTTCGCGGCAGTGTGCACAAGCAGTTCGCCGAAAATGCCGGCACCGAGCCCGCACCTAAAGATTTCCAAGATGACTTCGAACCCCTTGGGCCTGCGGTCTATGGGGAGGGGTGTCTCGCGCGTGAGCGCGTCCGTGCAGTCACACAGGTTCGCGAGGAGAGATTTGGGAAAGCGGCTCAATGTGTCTTTCGACACCTCGAACACTTTGCCCCCCACGTCCAGTCTCAAGAGCTGCTCCCCAAGGTTCTGGCCACCATTGGACATGTTTCGATACGAGTGCACGACTCGGTTTCACTCGCTGGGGGACGCCGCGGTGTCGAAACGAGCGGGAGTCGTTCAGCGGTGCAACAGCGCCTCCAGGACACCGTCGCACTGCTTGTTGTCTGGGTGCTCCGTGGCTGTCGGTGCCCGCGTTCTCAAGGTTCGCGAGGGGCTCGCATAATGACCACTGTTTCATCATCCTAACCAGGAAATCCAACACAGCGGGGAGGCAGCCATGAGCCATCGGCTTCATGTTTCTCCATGCAATGCTTCCGTGCTTTGTTCCACGAGAACCCGAGATACTGCCACAATCCTAGCACCGAGTTGTTATCAAACCATCGGCGTGGGTCACTCACCCAGTCGTCCCTTGGTTGAAACCCACTAGCAGGAGAGATGTTAGTTATGAATGGGTTGCCCTCACAGGATTCGCTACCTTTTGGTTCTAGCCAATTAAATTATGTGTGGGTGGGTGGGTGGGTAGGGTGGGGTTGGGTGGGGGGAACGGACCACAGCTACCGATCCCCACATCCACACTTGTGCTGCGTTGTGGTAGTGTGCTTCAACAGCGTGTGGAATGTCCAGGCGCCTTTTGGACTCGTTGCCGCCTTTGCTCTTGGTCTGGTGTGGCTTGGGATCCTTGCGTGTGCCCATGGACTTTCAAAATCATCTAGGTTTGAAGGCAAATAGGTGGGGCAGTGGCGATTTTGAATGTACTTGAAGTAAAGATTTGAAGTAAATGAGATTTTGAGTGGAGGTGTTGCGGCCCAGTCGGCAGCCGCTGGTTTCCGGAGGCGTTGGGGTCGCCCTGCCTTGCAGCTCGGCTGTTGGAGGTCATCTTGCCCTCTCCACCTTGGACGGTGGGCGTATCCGGGGCAGTCGCTCCTATGGTCGCGCGGTGGGCCCAATGCTCGACGGGGATCGATCCCCGGGGCCTGCTGTCAGCGAGAGGTGGTGTTGCGGCCCCGTCGGCAGCCGCTGGTTTCCGGAGGCGCGGGGGTCGCCCTGCCCTGCGGCTCGGCTATTGGAGGTCAGCCGGCTCTCTCCACCTCGGACAATGGGCGTATCCAGGGCAGTCGAATCGGTGGTCGCGCGGTGGGCCCAATGCTCGACAGGGATCGATCCCCGGGGCCTGCTGTTGGCGAGAGGTGGCGGCGCAGCGAGGCGGTGGTTCGCTGGCTCGCGGGAGGCCAGAGAGTGGGCCAGAACGGTTATATTGATTCACAGCATGCGCGCACACATATCGCATGCGCGATGCCCGATCGCGGATCCATCGCGGTCACATCGTGACAAGACAACACAAGTGCGCATCCAGGCACATCGTCACCATCCACCGTTCATCTACGATCGACCCATTGTCCTCTAATTCCAAGCATCTAACCCTCGACCCCCTGGCCCGAAGTACTACAGCTTCAGAAGGCCATATCTTTGCTATTTCGTAATGGATTTGGACGTTTAAGGGCGCGTTGGAACCAAGAAGCTCTAAATAACACTCCCAAAAGATTTGATTTTCCCAATTACGTAATTCCCACTTCAGAAAATGTCAGTAACTGTCTAACCCCAAGCAGCCACGTCACAATACTCCCCCCTTGGGGTAGCTTTTGCCCCTGAAAGCACACTATCCCATACTAGTGTCTTCCTCAGGCTTATCCCTCTTGATCATCTTCTGAAGTTCCCGGGCGTAGGTAAAATTTCCAGCCGGTATCCGGGAGGCATCATCGATACTCCACCCTGTCCATAGTACTAAAAACTCCTTGTGCCTCCTGCCACTGGGTCCTGCCCATCTCCATT